GGCCTCCTCCATATCCTCTCTTCCAGCCCTTAGCAGTAGACCTGCAATTGACAGCAACTATGCCTTTTCGGCAATCTGTTGGAGCTGGCCTCAGGTATGGTGTGTCTATTTCTTATGGTGGCTAACTTTCATAGTTGCTTTGATCTTTAATCTTTTCTCCCCCCCCCTTTTCTTCCCGTTATCTTCTAAAACCCTGCTTTCCAAACACTCAGAATGTTAGTTTAGTTGGCTTTGAAAGGAAACTAGCATAATTGACAGCTATGGCTATTACTTATGAAATGACTGAATGGGGAAAAAACTCCATGTTCACAGGCAGAAAGGGGGAGCATCTCAAGGAGGCTTTAGCCTCTGTACTCTGCTTGCAAGCTGTCCAGGGGCATCCGTTGGGCCACTGTGCCAAATGAGATGCTGGACTACATGGACCACTAGTTTGATTCAACATGGCTCTGTCCCCTTTATGTTCCTTTTTTCCTCTCCCCAAGCCTGATCTTCAGTTAGTTCACTTTCACTCCTTACTCCACCTTATCACTTGAAATTATTTTACAAACATCAGAGCTATGTGGCATTGTAAAAACCAACTTTACTGTGACAAAAGCTTTTGTGGGCTTTATCAGCTCTTAGTCTTTAAAATGCTGCATGAGCCTTGTTTTTGCAGCAAAAGACCAATATGGTTACTCCTTTTATAAATCTGTTGTATGCATGTATATGGAAAGTTCCATCAAAATGGGTCTGTCTAGTACAATTTATCCTACCCTTTCTCTAAGAATCTCAGAGCAGCACTTGCAGTTCTTCCTCATCTTCATCCTTACAGCCACCCTGTAAAGTACATTAGGTTGAGACTGACTAGCCCCAACATCTATTAGGAGGAGGAGGAGAGGAGATTGGATTTATACCCCGCCCTTCACTACTCAAAGGTGTCTCAGAGCGGCTTACAAACGCCTTTCCCTTCCCCTCCCCACAACAGACACCCTGTGAGGTGGGTGGGGCTGAGAGAACTCTGACACAAACTGCTCTTTTCCAAGGACAGCTGTGCCAGAGCTTGTGACTGACCCAAGGTCACATCAGCAGGTGCAAGCGGAGGAGTGGGGAATCAAACCCGGTTCTCCCAGATTAGAGTCCCTGCACTTAACCACTACACCAAACTGGGGGGGATTTGAAAACAGGTCCCTCATAACCGAGTCTAACAACCGCTCCAGCACACTGGACCATCTTTGTAATATGCCATAAGGAATGCCAGTAAAAGCAGTAATCATTTAAAGCTGGAACACCAAAAGTGCTGAGGCCTCCTAAAGACTAGTCACTTTGTTTTGCTTCCACAGATGATGGTCTCCACAGCTTCACAATCCAGCTCTGCTAATTTGCTTCTGTGAATAATGCATAGGGGAGGGAAAAGCCTCTTGTGGAGTAAAGAATTTATTTCAAAAGTGCTCTTCTTTTTTGTTCTATGTATCAAATAGGGTTCTTCCGTTTTCCTTTGATTTACAAAATCTTTATAAAAAACATAATTTTTGAACTTTTCATTCCCAGAGCTCTGACCTGGATCATCCAGGGTAACTGGATCTCATCAGATCTTGGAAGCTAAGCAGGGTCAGCCCTGGTTAGTATTTGGATGGGAGACCACCAAAGAATCCCAGGATTGATATGCAGAGGAGAGCAATGGCAAACCACCTCTGAACATCTCTTGCCTTAAAGGAGTTGCCATGTCAGCTGTGACTTGATGGCAGTTTACACACCCACACACATCCCTACAGCTCAGAGGATGCCTTGTTTTTCTGCAAGCTGTTTGGCACCGTTCCAATTCACTTAACTTGCAACAGAAGGTCCTGGCAGGAGTGATAGAAAAAGCCTCTCCTGCAGTTTGGAAAGCGAAGGCTGTGGTGACCTCCTGTTGGGTTCCACTTGAGGACTCTGCACTCTCAGTCACACATCTGCTGCCCAAGGGACAGCAGGGCACGTGCTAATGCCAGGATTGGCGAGCGTGACTTGCCGTTGTGATGGAAAGGGTGCAGCATGTTAAGGTACTGGACCAAGTGGAACAAGGGACATAGACAGAAGCTAGTGGTCTGATGTGGCTGCCCAGCTTACGAAAGGCTTCTCCTGCACTGGCATTCTCTTCCCACACATCCTGGTTGTGCTGTGTGATAGAAGCCAATGTTATGTCAGTATCGGCATTGTGCTGCGTGTTGCCCCCATGCTATTGCACAAAGAGGTGGCATGCTTGCTACTTGATAAATGTGGCCATTATTAAACCCTGATGACGTGTCCTTTGTAAGCTTAAAAACTATTTTCAAAGGAGCAAACTACTCAGCTGTATGCCCCTGAGGAGCTGCTCTCTTATCTATGGCGTGTTTCCTTTCCAGAAATATGTATGCCTTCAAACATGCTGTGAACCCATGCTAGGGTTGCCATAGAATTGTACTGAATGTGACTTTGTCATGCTGTAGAAATATATAATTGTTACATGCAGAGGTCATTTCGGGGGGGATCGCAGTTCCCCTGGGTGAGGTACAGGGTGGCGGGGCACATGACAAAGCCCCGCCGGCCCTCATTCAGCCAGGAGGAGGCAGGAGAAGAGGGAGGGTAAGTTGCTTCCTCCCTGCCTCTCCCCACCCCTGCCTGCCTGGGGCCAGGGAGGGCCTTCGCGGGGCTTCCTTACCGCCGGGCCCCTCATGGGGCTCGGCAGTGGAGCTGCAAGGCCGCCAGCGGCGGCCGGGACCGTTGGGCGCGGGGTGTATGGCCTTATGACACACTTCCAGTGATGTCAGGGGGTGTGGCCTTATGACACACTTCCGGTGATGGCAGGGTGTGTGGCATATGCTAATGAGTTATGCTAATGAGTTCCCCTAGCTCTTTTTCTACGAAATGACCCCTGGCTACATGCCATAAAAATGCCAGAGCAGAGCATTGAGAAGCCTGATGGTGGTGGAAAATGCCATTAAGTCACAGATGACTTACAGCGACCCCACAGGGTTTTCAAGGCAAGAGACATTCAGAGGTGCTTTGCCATTGCCTGCCTCTACATCACAACTGTGGTACTCAGTGGAGGTCTCCCATCCAAATACTAGCCAGGGGGCCAATGCTGCTTAGCTTCCAAGATACGATGAGACTGGGCTAGTCTGAGAAGCTTAGTGGACAATATTGTTTTTTTCTCCCCTCTAGTATATTCCCTTGATCTTTCCTTTTTAGCATGATAGTTGAACCATTATCCTAACTTTTCTCAAGGCTGCAGTGAGATGCTGAGATGTTGCTGTGATCCCCTCTTCATGCCATTAGGATATGCAGTGAGAGTGCATCTCCAACCCCCACTGTTTCTATGCTATAGCAAGAGAACAATGTGTGACTTTGTCTTATGACATAAAGACAACACAGTGTAACCCTGCATTGTACTACAGCCAGTTAGAAGTTTTTTACAGGCACTTATAAGTATTCTTACTTAGGGGTTGACTTTTAAGTAGGACTGGACCTACTGAAAAGTACTGGGTTCGCGGCATGGAGGACTCGGACAACGACATGCGTGTGCACACATTTATTGTACTTAACATCAGACTAACTAAAACGGCCCTGCAAGGCCAACTATATACACACCCACCCTAGTCCATTGGAGGGTTTGAATTTCCCACCAAAGTGGCTATTGGTTGGGGCTGGGGGGGAACTAGGATCCTATGTTGTGTTTCTATGCTATAGCAAGGGAACAATGTGTGACTTTGTCTTATGGCATAAAGGCAACACAGTGTAACCCTGCATTGTGCTACAGCCAGTTAGTGAGAAGTTTTTTACAGGCACTTATAAGTATTCTTACTTAGGGGTTGACTTTTAAGTAGGACTGGACCTACTGAAAAGTACTGGGTTCGCCGCATGGAGGACTCGGACGACCGACATGCGTTTGCACACATTTATTGTACTTAACATCAGACTTACTAAAATGGCCCTGCAAGGCCAACTATATACACACCCACCCTAGTCCATTGGAGGGTTTGAATTTCCCACCAAAGTGGCTATTGGTTGGGGCTGGGGGGGAACTAGGATCCTATGTTCCTATTGTTCAAGGGAGCAAGCTCCTGCCTGCACCGTGGACCCCTAGTGGCGGTCCGCGTACATAACACCTACTTAGGGGCGCTCTGCCTTCTCTGGGACCTAGATGCAAAGTACAGAAGGGTTTCATTGTTTGTGGCACTTGTGCAGAGGTAGCAACGCTGACAGTGCTAGGGCTTACCATGGGAGCCGCACCTCAGCAGATGCATCAGACCCCTGTTGTTGTATGCCTGTGACAACATATTGCTGGCTCTGTTCTCGCATCTTTAACGTCAACAGTATCATCCACTAAGGTCGTGAGTTCCAGAAAGGAAGCTATCTTACAGTATAATCACTCAGAAGTACGTTATTAAGTTTAGGGGGAAGAGTAGCATGCTACCCTGTTGCGGGCTGCAGCAAAAATAACCTACTTGCTGGAATAAGGGTCTCCTGTTTGGTTTTACTCCCTGGTCATTATGCTTGGGTGTGGCACTTTAAGCCATCCGTCTGCAAGTCTACTCAGAAGCAGTTCCCATGCAGATCAATGGGACTTTCTCAGCCCCAAACTATCAAGGTCTTGGTGAAGTGGCGCACCGCAAAAGAGTTTCAAGCTGTTCGATTTCTGACACTGAAAGAGAAAGCGTAGCAGGGCCAATTTTTAAAAAAGGGCTGGCCACGCTCGCCACTGCTCATTCGCCAACTGTGAGGCTATCCTCAGCATAGTATTCCGATGTTCGAACAGGGCGCGTGCGGGGTGGGGTGGGAGAGAAGCCACCACTTGGTAGAAAAAGCTGAGCCATCAGGCATTTGACACGGACGACTAAACCCCGGCGGGTCCACACCCTATGCGTCCTTCCCGCAACCCCGTGAGCACAAAGCCTCGCCCATCACACCACCCCGCCCAATGGCATCGCGTTCAGACCACCGAGGGGACGTGGCTTTTCGGCTGAAGAGGAGAAATTATGTTAATAAGGCGGGCCTTCCTCTAGCTTGCTCCGCCTTGCGTTGCCGACGCAGACCGTGTGGCCGAGGACCCTGCCCGGCGCCGCTCGTTCGCCTTCCCAGCCGCTGCCGCCGCCGCCACCTCCGCCTCTTTTCAACCTTGGTCTTCACCGCCCTCTCTTAGGCTTCCCCTTTTCCTGTGAGGCGGCCGCTGATTTCCCCCTTCGCTGCCACCGCGTCCGGTCCAGTCGCTGCTCGCCATGACCTTGTTGACTGCCAGCAGCAGGGCGGCCGCGCGCCTCCTGGGTGCCAAGGTGACGCTTCTCGTGGTTCCCCCCCTCCCCCCCCCTTGGAAGGAATGGGCCTTTAAAAGGGCGCGCCCGCTGTCTAGGTTTGCTGGGGCTTTTCTTAAAGAGTCCGCGCCGTGTTCTGTTCGGAGGAAGGTCCGCCGGTTAGCCTGGCCAAAAATGGGAGGGGAAGGGGGTTGAAGTACCACGCTTTCTCTGGGTGAAGAGAGAGCTTCTTTGCTTCTCTGCAGGTATCTTCTTCCCCCTTCCTTACTGTGGGTCCTGATGTCAGACTGAGGGGCATGGCGTTGGTGGGGAGTATCGTTCGTAACGCGATTCCATTTAAGCCGGGTGGTTAGGTTGGAAGGGGAAGGGTGACTTGTGAGGATTTCCGTTCTCTTGTGCCCTTGGGTGGGAATCGGCTGACGGGCCTTCGCTACGGGCCTCTCTTAAAAGAATGGAGTGCGTTAACCATAGCAAGTCTTTATCCCGCCTTCCTCTTCCCTACTGGATCTTCTTGGGGGGGGGGGGGGGGGTAGGGGCTCTTTTT